CTTTGAAAACAAGGAAAGCTGTTAGGGACAGGGTTTGACACACACACACACAGCGCCGCTTTGCGGCGCTCGTGCGAACGACCTGAATAGGTACCTAAAAAGCCTTAGAAACAAAAGAAAGAAACACAGAAAGAGCAGCGCTAAGAGGGCAAGAGAGAAAGGTAGGAGTAGAAAAAAGTGAATACTTAGCCCTTGACTGGGGTAGGGAAACGAGCCTCAAGAGCAACCTAAAAAGCCTGAGAGAAAGCCCAACAAACGACGAAAAGCGCAAGAAGGAAAGTGGGGGGCAGGGAGGGGGTGTATGTCCATGTGTGTGTACATGTGTGTGTGTGAATACTTAGCACTCTAGAGTTACTGATTACTTAGCAGAAATGAATTAAGTGCAATAGTTAGGGAGCGGGACTTTAGTCTTAAACCGCCCGGGTAGAGAAGACTAGAAAAGGGACAACAGAGGGAAAGGCACCGACACACAAGTGTGCCGAGTACCATTTCCCTCTGTTACCCTAATTAGGTAGGGAGTAGAACTCGGCGGGGGGGGTTGGGAAACATGCCTGACCTCAAGTGGAATTCCGTTTTTTAGCCCGGCGGCTGTGGTATCATGTCGCGCAAGCCCGACGGCTCTTGAATCAGTTGATTCAGTTATGCAAAGGTGGAAGTAAGGTGCAGTGGAAGAAGTAAATCCGTTACACGATTTCCGGAGTGAATTCAGCGCCCCTGTCACGGGGATCACACCCAGCACCCAAGTGGGACGGCTGAGCGGTTCACACTTTGACATTGGTTTTCAGTTAGCTCAACTCCCAGGTCGAAACGGCAAGGCGAAAAGGTTGGCGAGAACTGTATGGTTGAACAATGTTTGTAATCTGACACATAAGCGCGGCTGCAAAGCGGCGGTGGGAAAAAAGGGTTTGGGGGACGTACCATGAACCACCATGGAATCAAAAAAGAAGGATTGGAACAGCGTAGCGTACTCAACCGTTGAAGCAGGTACAGGTGGATGATCAGTCCACCCCTCCCTCGTCATACCATAGCTTCATTGCGTACGGTGGATATGACGAGCAGTACGCCCCTGCTTTGAAAACAAAGAAAGCCCTTAGGGACAGGGTTTGACACACACACACACACACATCAGCATAGCCCAGTCATGCAATGCTACTGCGGGTTCAATCTTTTGTTTGGCTCGAGCACAAATTGCAAACCATTGATCTCAGATTACTTTTCGTGCCCTTGTGATCGCCAAGACGCAAAGTTGTTTTACACGTTGCGATGGCGTCGGACATGAAGGAAACCAGGAAGCCAATCGTAGAAAACAACTTAGATACGATCGACTTGGCTCAAAAGCTTTCGCGGTCACATGAAATGTTGGCCGAGTTTGTAGCATCTTCTGAAGCTGCAACATTCAAGCACTGCTGGTGCGCAGGGTCTTGCTGAAAATTGCAAACCCAGTGCTGCAACGTCAAGAATACTAAAGCACGCCAAAACAGTCCCTTTCAACATATTGGGGTCTGAACTGAGTACCACAAAGTTGAAACTAGGTGGATTCCGCTTGCAGAGAAGGAACACCAAGAATTGTTGCAGAGCACGCCGCTTTTGCGTTCACTGTGTCTGGGGTCTTACCTCAAGTGCAAAACTGTTGTTCACGTCAACCTGCTCCTTTGTTGTACACAAATACAGAAGGTAAACTGGCTAGCTTGGGAAAAAGTAATGAGGAATGTGCTGCTCCCAAACATCGACTCAACTCCGGCTGCTGGCTGCAAGCAGCTACCAAGTTGCAAGAATCCTGAACAAAGTACAGAACTGTGCCTGTTCTGGCGATAGCCAGCACAACACCTGCGTTTCAAGATCACCAGCTGACTTGACTTACACACCATACACCCACACTTGTTTGAATTGAAACTAGTTCAAGAATTTCTTGAATCCAAACTGATTCAATCACTCATTTCAGTTCCGAGGCCTGTAATATCAAAGGAACACGTTGCAAGTGTTGTCGGCTTTATCGTTGGTGAAAGGTCTGACTCCAAGCGTCTTTGTGCCCTAGTAACGTTGCGATGAGAGAGGTGCTTTTGGCCTTGGCGTGAAATTCGTGAGATGTATGTCAAAGAGGTGTTTGACCATTACAGCAGTGCTCATAGTGCTCTGTAATCAAGATTGCGGAAACATGCAGAAACGCAATGAAAACCCTCCATACTTCACACTTCACGCAGCTTTTCAGCTGAGCCTGCGGCGCTCTTCAAGCGAACGTATCATTTCTTGCAATTGTTCCAAGGAAAGAGGCTCGGAAGGGGCCACCACGTTTGCAGCATCGCCCCTCCTGAGCAGTGGGATGACAAATTCTTTAAGACAAAGTCTAAGCTTGCTTTGATCATCTTTGATCTCCCTCGTTCAATTCTGCCATACATTTGGGTTGAATTTCAAGAGAGCTGGACATTCCACAAAAGACTGCCACCCAACCTCATGCTGCAGCCAAGCAGCACTAGGCCGAGCAGGGTTGACAAAAATAGCGCAATGCAAAACATGTTCATTGATGGGTCGTGAAGCTTCGTACACAACCACAACAACAACAGCAACAACAGCAACAACAATGCACAAATGTTACAAACTGTTTGCAGGCTCAGAATTGTAAGCTGGCATTGCATCTTCGAGCGAACTGTTCAACAATGTGTTCAGACTGTTTGACAAAAAGGCACACCATCCTTTGTTCTGGATATTTTCTGCTCTTGAGTCTCCAAGCTGACTTTCACGGTAAGGCATGCCATATGTCCATATGTGAATCCAACTGCAAGGTTTAATAAGGCAAAGGCCAGCGATGCTTAAGGCTAAAAATTATGTGTGAACACTGCCAAAGACAAAACGATGGCCTTCAGCCACTCCAGCACGACAATCGAGTGCTCTGCATCCTTCTGCTGATACCTGACAGGCGTTGTCAAAATGTCCAGCGCTGGATATGAATCCTACACTGAGCACCGTTGTGGAAGACATGTTGGAATCTCCATCTTCGGGCTTACCCCCACGACAGTCGACATCCCACAAAATGAGCACCCACTGGCAGCCATGCGCGCACAAGGTTTGATGTCTTTAGAGCCGTAAGAAATGCTGTATGATGACTGGAAATCGCAGACCCCTGGGCGTTGGCATAGGTTGACAAGGTATACTGTATAGATTGGGCATTGGTAGGGTGGCTGGAGCAATGCAAATCCTGTCATGAATCGCGGCAACTGATGAGCACTTAGAATTCATGCCGACGACGCTCGTACAGCAGCCCGCTTCATGCTGAGGTAGGCTGCCAAGTGGCAATAGCAAAAGGAGCAAGCCTATCACAAAACTCCTTTGATATCTTTGGCAAAGGCGTCGAAAGGAGCTGAGTGTATACTGGGGCACTAGTCAACAAATGGTCAGGCATGGTTGGGAGCTCACGCAATAAAAAATGTAAAATACTTGGGTGGTAGGTATTGATTCCGCACACTTCAGTCCCAGCAAGGATAGTGAGCTCGTTGATGAAGACATTGACAAAAATAGGAAGAAACACAAGCAGCAATACTTGATGGAGTGGACACTATAAACGACTAAATAAACAAAAAAAAATTAGTTAAACATAAATATATAGTTTTTATATACATACGAACACAAGATGGACACCTGAACATTGCGTGGCCACGGCGACAAAAAGGGCAGCCCGCACGAATTGCTGAGTTGAACATCAAATGAGACGCAAAGAATGTCAATCATCTCGTGTTCCTTCCAAAATGTAAAATTGCAATTTACTTGGGCCCGAACAACTTTGCAGCATTGAAGGGGGCCGCCATGCCTCAGGGCTCTAATCTTCAGATTTGGTGGGCACGTGCTTGGATTGACAGTGTCCAAGAAGTCTAACCGCCCACGCGTTTCCAGCGCGAATTTGTATGATGCTGCATGGCAGTATGATTGGTTTTGCACTCAGCAGTCTTTTTGCAAAGCATGCTCTTGTGGCAGTCATGCGTTGAAAATGAGTCGAAATGTGAAGTCCAAAAGAAATGCAAAGTTGTTTGAAACACTGATGCGACCAACAAGGACTAGGAAAAAATTCGAAGCAGTTCTCTGGGATCATCAAGATTCTCGACCGAAAATGGCCTCCTCGAGACGTTTATTAGCTGTGGCTGAGTCAGCCCAAAACATGCTGTAACTCGTGAAAACAATTTCCAATAAATTCAGCACCATCTTTGGTAGCTCGAGTGCGACGTTTTCCTTGGCTACCACGAGCACAAAGCATGCTGATTAAAAGCATAGAAACGAATTGCCGAACATTCAAACCTCATGAGCACTTTGCCATTTACTCTGCTTCCAAGCAGCGATTTGCCCTTGCCATGTCCTTTGCCGTTCCCCTTTGACTTGCGATCTCCACCCCAGGTGGCAGGGTCAGGAATATTGTCCTCGGCTTGGCACAAACTTTGTCATGCAAAGCTTTCTGTTCAAGGGTTTTTCATGTTTTTCCTAGTCTCAATTCGTCATATTTGTGTAACTAATTGTTTGTTATTTGTTCCAGGACGCTGCAACGAGCTCCCAAGGTAGTTCATAGCAAGGTGATGCCATTGTGCAGGACATGAAACCAGAGTTCAAGCGCTGGATGCGTTCCTGTGCAATCACTCGGCACCTTCAAGCTAAAGCAAACAAAAAACATGGAACCCGCGAACCCGAACCCGAATGCGCACAAACCCCTTTTTTACACTCTTGCTGTACCTACTTGACACTCTCGAAATACACTCTTGATGGACATTCTGCGGGGACACTCTTCTACGCCCTTGTAGGGCACCTTTGTGTGACACTTTTGCTTGACACTCTTGTGCGACACTCTTGTAGGACACTCTTGTCGCGCAGTCTTCTAGGATACCCTTGCGGGACATTTTTGTGGGACACTCTTGAGAGACACTCTTGCATCACAATAGGACACTTTTGTGGGCGTGCGGAACACTTTATATAGTCTCTTTAATTCGCAATACTCTTGTAAGAATTTGTAAGATACTCTTGTCGCCAATATGGGACACCTTTGTGGGACACTCTTGCGAGACACTATTGTAGGACACTCTTGTGGGACACTCGGGCACTCTTGCAAAACGCGTTTGCGCGACGCGTCGCGTTTTGAAGGATCTTGGGTGAAGCCGGCGGGTCGAAATCATTGTTAAACGTGTAGCGCGGTGCAAAGTTTGTTTGACGTGCCAAGGTGTGGCGTAGTCACCTTTCGGGGCAGGAGCAGTACTTTGCTTGCGTTGGAAGTGCTGGGACGCAGCTTGTGAATCGCGAGGTTGCGACATTTGGCGCCGGTGAAGGTCGCTGTGCCATGTTGCTTGGTGTGTCGGTGGATGCTCTTTCGAAGGGCTTAAATTGCGAAACTGCTTGGAAGCAAGCGCGTTGGCGTGGCTCCCAGAGATTCATGCGCGCTGGTGAGCGCGCGGCTTTGTGGTGTCAAAGCGTCGATGGGGCTTGGGTTCAGAGCGGGTCTCCCACGAGAGTGTCCCACAGTGCGGCGAAATATCGTCTGTGATGTCGCTGTGCGATGCATCTGGCACGGCCTTGGTGGAAAGTGTGTTTAAGCGGCTCGTGGCAAACGCGGCGTGTCAGAGGGCGATGCTTTGCGATGTCAATGAGGTTTGGCGTCCCACTGAGTCCCACTGTTGCGTCTAGTCTGTAGCGCATTAGCGCGGTGAGATTAGACTTGTCACTACACTGCTTCAAGGCAAGCGCTTCAAGAGTAAATCCCAACGGCGCAGCAAAAATCCTCCGCGCGTGAATCTCGCACTTCACCCATCAGACCTCCTCCAAGAGTTTCCTCCAATGCAGGGCATGATCGATCAACGTCACGCCAACACGCTTCCACCCCCAAATGCCTAGAGTTAAACTAGAACCCTTCGCTAGAACATTGTAATAACCCCCCCTCCGGGTTGTTGATTTTCAAGCAACTGTACCTTTTAATGTCTTAACGCAACGTTCAATCCTGCTGCCGCTTTTGAGCAAGCAATTCAGCTCGGACGTCCTCCCTTCTCGATACAAAGCCTTTTAGGGCCCCAACACAGTCATGAATCGTGAATTCTGATCAAAAGTCTCGCAATATTGGAAGTCCGGTGGTGAATCCTCAATTTGGTGGTTGGGCCAACAAACCATGTTGCAAACCCATGATCAAAGGAGGAACTACTCCCAACTCTACTGTACTTGGCAAGAAGTTCAGCCGGGAGTCCATCTGCGATTCAGCGAGGTCGAAGCCGTCGGCCATATTTAGGAGGATGCGCTCTGAGTTGATGGACTTCGGAATCGGAATGTAGCCTAGAATTTGGACTTGTAATGCAACAAAAATAGACAACACTCTGATACTAGAACCCAATGCCAAAAAATACACTCGCTTGCAATGAGCTTGCGGGGCACGCCAACAGCATAACACAACGCCTTTCTGAGAGAAGTTGAACCCATTTTGGACTATGTGGGAAAATGATGTTCACCGCAAAACCCCACAGGATCCACAGGTTGAAAAACAAAGAGTCATCTCTGTTCCCAGGCAACATCGCACGCTTGGTACGACACAGTTGGTACGACACAGCACCATCCTCTAAAGCTAAAGTTAAGTAAAAACTCTCTGCCAACCAGTTGTCCTTGTTGCAAGGACCAGCGGATAGCCAGCTCCGCTTCCGTGCGCCCCATCTCCTCCAGCACAAAAAAATGTTGGGGAAAGTGAGTGGCATAAAAAAGTTGCGACCAGCCGACCAGCTCAATGACCAGCTCAATTAGTTTTGAAATGTTTTGAGTTCTATTCCAAACCCTAAGGGGGCGTAGCAACGGGCAGCCTAAGTATTCTTGGAGGATAGCACAGCAGATTGCAACAGCGTTTGAACTTGCGTCAGTCGCTGCAGTCTCCTCAGCCATCTTCGCCAAGTCACTCCGACCTAACATTCTGCCACGGGCCAGCGGCGCCATGCACATTGTGGCGATACCTCACTAGAAGTTGGACCAGCGTGATCCAAGTGTGAAGGTTTTCGGTGGAGGGTTGCTCATGTTCTTGTCAGTCTCTGACCTTCAGTTGCTGCTGAGAAACCTGCCTAATCGGTGGATATTGATCTTGGTGGCACTGCTTTTTCATATTTGGTGTCGTTCACGCTGATTGCATGCCTCACTGGGTTCATTGTTTGAACATGTCGCATCTGCTACCTGATGGCTTACAGGCATCGATGTCGCTTCATTGCATGTACAAACAGTGCGCGTTGCCAGCACCTGCTTTTGCTTGCTTTTGGCAGGGACTGGGAGCTTTTGCACCAGAAGGATCAGGCACTGACTCATGGTCAAAGCCATCAACGCCACCATCTCAGAAGGATCAGCAGAGGCCAAAACTATCGAAGGAGAAAGACGGAGAGACAGGACACTGAGGGACAGCACAGGTGAAGAATTCTATATATTATCTGAAGTTGAAAGAACCAGTCACCATTGGCTGCAGTGGCGTGTGGTTTGGCATGAGCTCTTGACCACGACCGCCACGACCTTACATGACGTTCACAGTTTGCTCGAACCCAGCCCACGGGGCTGTGAAAACCGTGTCCGAGGTACTTGTTTTTTTGCACGCAGTGCTACCACAGAAGTGGAAGAGGACCACTCAGGCATTTGTACAATCTGGAGAGCAATGAATTGGCAATGCTGGTGTACCTGTCCACGAGAAAAGAGGCCAGGCTCGTCTTGGATGAGTCCTTCAGAGAGTCGGAGGCAGAGCTGTTTGAGAGAGTGGGCTGGACAAAGAATTCCAGCAGCGTCGCCGATAATCAGGTGAGACTCAGAGCTCAGTTGGCAAGTTGACCCGGATAACAATACAAGTAGTTCCCGGGCAAGCCGGCGGCGGAAGTTTCCTATAAGAACAAATTGACCTATAGGAGTGTCCCGGTTCTTTCCACCATGCGTGTCCCTCAGTCAGACGCATGAGTGATGAGTGAAGCATAGCTCTAGCTCTAGCTCCACTAAAGCTAACTGGAGCTAGACGTTCACTATGATGTGACGGCTTGTCTAGACACGAAGCTAATTAGCTCAAATTTGTCAACCTCTCAAAACACGTGCTTTGAGGTCTCCAGAAAGTAATCGAAGTGACCAAATTCAACCTCTCAAGAGAGCCGGGTGGTCGGGAGACATGACTCAGCTGCAAGGGCGCCAGAGCTGCCGCCAGAGATGACTCAGCTACCTACTAAAGTTGTACTACCAAGTCGCCAGTTCTCAGCTTCCAGCTCCACAGATTGCTCCGCGTACTAAAGTTGTACTACAAAGTCGCCAGCTCTCATCTTCCAGCTCCCCAGATACTCCGCGCACTAAAGTTGTACTACAAGGTCGCCAGTTCTCAGATTCCAGCTCCCCAGATTGCTCCGCGTACTAAAGTTGTACTACAAAGTCGCCAGTTCTCATCTTCCAGCTCGCCAGATACTCCGCGTACTAAAGTTGTACTCAAAGTCGCCAGTTCTCATCTTCCAGCTCGCCAGATACTCCGCGTACTAAAGTCGCACTACAAAGTCGCCAGTTCTCAGCTTCCAGCTCCACAGGTTGCTCTGCGTACTAGAGTTGTACTAGAAAGTCGCCAGTTCTCATCTTCCAGCTCCCCAGATACTCCGCGTACTAAAGTTGTACTACAACGT